GAACCAAGAACACACATGTTTATCTGGAATAATATATTCTTTAGTCTTGGTTTCGACGTTAAAGATCACTACAAAGTGAGTTCTTATGTACTATCATATTTAAATTTTCCGTTGTTGTTTTAAGAACATCTATCTGCAATCATTTAGGAACTTGGTGGCGATGCAGCTGCCTTTGCAGCAACGTCCGCTGATCTTCAAGGAGTGAAGGCGTACGCTGCTCTTGACAACTGCAAGCTTTGCACCTTGGGAATGGCTATCATTGACTATAGAGGCTATAGAGTCACTGCGCAAAGTATCATTCCTGGTATTCTCGATAAAGAACAGGTCTGTTTTCACCTTAAACGTGATCCCTGCAATAATGTTGATACCTATTTTAATTCCTTTTTTCATAATCTCAAGAGTATAACGTAATATCACTCTACATAGAAAATTTTGAAAGGGTATTTTAGGAACAATCGGTAGTGTACGGCTCAATAGACTTCGGCAAAACAGTCGTATCATCAGAACAGTATCACGAGCTTCTTGAATCATCAGCCAAAGAGTTGAAGTTGTTGCCGCATGAGGTTGTGATTGATGACAAGGGAAATACTGCTAAACTCTTCACTAGCTATGAAACAAAAGTAAGTTACTACAACATCAAGCCAAACCTACCTATTAACATGACTTTTCTTCAAGGGTATCATCGGGAATGATGGTCGGCATTATGTGCTTGATCTCTTACGAACAATGCCTCCTGATGTTCATTACTTACAAGAAGCGGAGGTAGTTATTTATTTTTCATTTGAGAAGGAATCCTTTTTTTCAGTTTTTTACTTAAGTTGTGGCTTTCAGAAAGTTGCGAGCAATACTGTTCAAGCGTTGTTTGCGCTTTGGTATTGCTGCTTTTTCTTTTTAGAATTTGAACGGGATGTGGTATTATGCAATTTAAGGAGTACTTAGTCTTTCATAGATTGCTTATCAAGAGGTACTTTAGTTCGGTGTAGATTCTAAAAGGATGCGTCCACTGGCATTGTATAAGTTTAGCGGGGTCTAGTCCGTGAGGTCAGCAATCCTAACAGTGTACAACAATAGTTTTCGTTTTCCACTATAAATCAGCAGAACTTTTGATGACATTATTGTCATTGGCTACAAATAGGGTATCCTCAGAGCATCCTAATTGATCTCTTGCTTCCTAACGCACGAACAGTCGTCGCGCACCCACGTTGAATGTAGAGATATGGTTTGAGATTTAGGCTGCTGGCAGAATGTGAAAGGATCATCCAATTTGTGATGCCATATTGAGGCACATCATTGGGCAGACACTTCTAGATTAATGCAAACTGAAGTGCTCAATTCTATCGCTATTTACAGTATTCAAAATCACTTATATGACACAATCACGCAGAAGTATATCATGCTGTAAAGAGAATATCTAATTGATGTTTAAATTGGAAAAACATATGATGATGGGCTTTTTAAGAGCTATACAGAAATGCCACACGAAGTTTCACGTTTTCATTTCTCACTCTCCAGGTTACGGAGAAGTCTAGAGAGCTTGGATTTCCTCGTCCATTTCCACATAAGCTAGCGACGCTTCGTCAAGAACTTGTGGATATCTTTCATGAGTATGTCAAAGTTCTTTCAATTATGATGCAGTTTTATTAGCCTATAGATTTGATAAATTTCACAATTTTGCTTATAGAGCTCGTTGTATGCAGTTCATCAAAATGGCAGCAGCACATGTTCGTCAGCAGTTAAATGCTAATAAAGAAAGCCAAGAATCAGGTTTGCCTCTTTTTCAGCTATTGAGGAGTGTTAGATCAATATTCTTTTTTCAGTGGATATTGAGAATGAAGTAACCAGAGCACTAGTAGAAGTGAGCGAAGGTCGGGATCCTCTCACCACATGTAATATCACCAAAGAAGCGCTGTCCAAGGTGATTCTATAAATTTTAGTATATGGCAATGCGACCTAAGTTATTTCCAGGCTGCTGAAGCTGTGCATTCCTTACGTCCAGACACTTTTGATGTACGTTTCAATCCTGATTGCTTCTCCACCACTGTAAAGCACGCACCTGGAGAAAATCTAGAAAAGCAAAAGAGACTTGTCATGGAGGTGAGACGAGACAACAGTTCTAAATTTCGTCTTCTATATTTTTTTTTCAAATTTTAGATGGTTTTTGCAAGTTGAAGTATTTACTAAGTAATTACTTAAGAAGCAGCACAACGCAAACGAACCTTCTTGTTTAGGCAGCTGAATTCCTAGTCACTTCACAACTTCCTGAATTTGTATCCAGCTGTGTGGACGCATCAGTAACACCAATAGATGGAGAGAGTCTTTGTGATTTAATGCATGCCCGTGGTATCAACGTTCGGTACTTGGGGGACATCGTGAGATCGGTAGGTTTCCAGAGATTTTTTTT